AGAAAATGCATAAGGCAGACTAGTTGTCTTTCTATTTTTGTAATTGCCTCGTATCTGTTCTGCTCCTTAAGCCTTTTAGCCCATTTTCCTTTTGTTTAACATGAATTTTATTTTCAAGTGATTTATATACATATTATTGTTGCTTTGTGTTTTCTGGTTGCGCAGCTTATTTAAAATTTGAAGGAGAATAATAATTAAGAGGGATTGGAGGAGGGATAGTGGGAGATGGCCTCTTGTATCAATCATTGTGAAAATGTTTCATCCACGCTCATTTCATCATCATCACAGCCATATAGCGTTTCAACCCCACAAAAAATTATTTATCAAAATCCAATCTCTTTATGTTATACTTCAATCCCACCAAGCTACCTACCAAGAGGAGTGTGATATCACATTTGAACTTTCAATGCCGTCCGTTGTTCCTGCATTCTGCGAGATTTAACCAGAAAGTGAAGGTGAACTCAATTCGATGTGAGAAGGATGCCGTTTGTTACAGCAATGGTTCGACGAATGATGGGGCTTTTGGTTTCCAAAAAGTTGGAAAGAGGATGAATATCAAGAAGATTTTGATTTTAGGTGGCAGGGCTATTGTGATTGGACAAGCTTGTGAGTTCGATTATTCGGGAGTCCGTCTTGTAAGACGCTTAGGGAAGAGGGTTATGAGGTGATCCTCATCAATTCGAATCCTGCCACTATAATGACTGATCCAAAGATGGCTGATAGGACTTATATTCAACCTATGACACCGAAGCTGGTTGAGCGAGTGCTGGAGAAGGAGAGGCCTGATGCTTTATTGCCAACTATGGTAGGGCAGACAGCTCTTTACCTTGCTGTGGCATTGCTGAAAGTGGGTGCTCGACAAATATGGCATTGAGTTGATTGGGCGAAGCTTGAAGCAATCAAGAAGGCCGAGGATTGAGAATTTGAGATTTATTCAAAAAATCTATCAAAAATATTGGGCTAAAGACTCCTCCTTCCGGGATTGGAACTACTCTGGAGGAGTGTTTTGAGATAGCAAATTCTATTGGGAGTTTCCATTGATCATTTGGCTAGCTTTTACGTTAGGAGGAACTGGAGGTGGTATTTCTTATAATAGGGAGGAATTTGAGGCAATATGTAAGTCAGGGCTTGCAGCTAGCATGAATTCTCAGGTTTTGGTGGAGAAATCTCTTTTGGGATGGAAAGAATATGAGGTTGAGGTTATAAGAGACTTGGCAGACAATGTGGTTATTATCTGTTGCGATTGAGAATAGTGACCCAATGGGGGTCCATACCGGGACGCTATCACTGTAGCTCCTGCACAGACTTTGACAGACAAAGAGTATCAGCGGCTTAGGGATTACACTATTGCTATTATCAGGGAAATTGTGGTTGAATGTGGTGGTTCAAATGTTCAGTTTGCGATCAATTCTGTAGATGGAGAGGTAATGGTGATTGAGATGAATCCTTGAGTCTCAAGGTCTTTAGCTTTAGCTTCCAAAGCTGCTGGTTTTCCCATAGCGAATATTGCTGCTAAACTATCAGTTGATTACTCCTTGGATTAGATTCCTAATGAAATCACTAAGAAAATACCCGCAAGTTTTGCGATCAATTCTGTAGATGGAGAGGTAATGGTGATTGAGATGAATCCTTGAGTCTCAAGGTCTTTAGCTTTAGCTTCCAAAGCTGCTGGTTTTCCCATAGCGAATATTGCTGCTAAACTATCAGTTGGTTACTCCTTGGATTAGATTCCTAATGAAATCACTAAGAAAATACCCGCAAGTTTTGAACCTTATATAGATTATGTGGTTACCAAGGTAAGTTTTCATCATTATCCAAATTTTGACTCTGCTTTTACACTTCTTGAAGTGCATTCTTGCTGTTGTCTTGTAAGATTCTTTGAAATTTGATTCAGAACTTTTGGTGACTTACTAAGGATTCATATTATTATGAAGTTCTATCGGTCATAAGCAGTTTGCTTATATTTTTTTTGAATATTTTTATTTCTTCCTCAAATTTATTTGCAGTGTCATGAGATCAAGTGACCATGAACTAATAGTTGATATTACAACTCTTCCTATTGCCATGCCTTTTGTTTTTACAAGCTTTTTGGTGAACTTATTGATGAGCATTGTTTTCTTGACGGGAATATGTGGTCTCATTCATAAATTTCTTAGTTAGCACAGTAACCTCGATACATAACATTTGGTGCTTTAGAAGGCAGTCATCCTTAATCCTTTCGAGTTCATCATATTAGACAGTTTTGATCTTCTAGATGATCCAAATAGATGAGAGAAAGGTACTTGAGAGTGATAACTTAAGTTGTTTAATGCTAAAGATTATGACCTGTCTCTACAATTTTACTTGGAATATTCCAAGTGTTGCTGGTTGTGAGATAAATATCACTTTGGCCATGCTTTGATATATTAAAATCCTGTCCTTTTTTTCTCTTATTATTTAAATACTATGCAAATCATAGTTTAGTTTACCATTAGGTGCTCTTTGTTTTCTAGTATCCCTTCTTATAGTCTTGATTATTTTAATACTAGCTGCTCCTTTAAGAAGATTGTGTGAACTTCATTAACTGAATGGCTGTGAGATCTTTTCTTGTTTCTTTTCACTGGATCAAAATTGCTTTACCTACACATACATTGTTACATGTTTAAACAGGTGTGAGATCTTTTCTTGTTTCTTTTCATTGGATCAAAATTGCTTTATCTACATATACAATGTTGCATGTTGTGTTCTGAGAGAACATTCAAAGCAAAATTCCTTGGCCAAAACCAAGTGTTTGCAAACTAGTATCTTTCATCCTCATTCTACAATTTTTTCCTTGGCACTACAAATATTTGATAGTTACTATCATCATTCATCCTCATTCCATAATTTTTTCCTTGGCACTACAAATATTTGAACTTTGCTAAATATTGCATAGTTATCATCATCCAACAAAAACAAAGAAAACAAAACCACTGTCCATGAGCCTTTGTATCTGTCTTTAAAGGCCCTGCAAACGGAAGAAAATTAGGCATTCTAAATTGAGGTGGGATATGAATCTCCGCTTTACTTCTCTGGTTATCAGGCAGAGAATCATGTCACAATTTTCACAAGGCCATAGCTGTGGCAAATGTTTTGCATGAAAAATTATGTTGCTGAAATTAGATTTAAGTGACGTGGATTTGCAAGTTAAGTTTCCATTGATATTCCTCTATTCTTCATATATTTCTATATATAGCTATCTACATCTATTAATCCTAGCTAGCTAATAGTCACCTTTCGTTGTGATCTAGAGGGTGGATCTGAAAGCCTCTCTGAATTACTTTATGCAGGCTATGAAATTCAAGGCTTTATGAGTGTTTTTTTTTTTGAAAATTTTGATCTACCATTAGCCTCCCTTTGAAGTGTTCTGTGTTGCTGCAGCAGATACCATCAGGAAACAAGCGATCTATTCCTCCACTTTAAGAGTGTCATGTCTTCCTCAATCCTACCAACAAAAGGAAAAGAATTAGTATGACTTAGAAAAAGGAGATGGATAAGGGCCCAGGTATCAGAAGCATATTGCAGTCAGCATTTACCTTGAGTATGCCAATTCATTAAAAGTTTACTCTTATATGGTTAGAATGTCTAGCAGCCTATTAATACCTCCTATATTATAAATTTTATGACTGTCAACCTGGGACTTAATCCTTGGCATTTTCTCTGAATCAAGATAGCATTCTGCATGTTGCCTTTACTATTTTCACAATCTGCAGGTTGGCATGCTCTTTGTTCTAGTTATAACCAGATTACTGTCTTAGACTTTTTTCACGTCTTGTTATGGATTAGACATTTTTCTTTTTCCTGGAAAATGTTGAACATGCAGATACTCTGTTTTGCAATTGAGAAGTTCCCAGGCTCAGAGCCTATTCTGACAACCCAAATGAAGTCTGTTGGTGGATCAATGGCTGTTGGTCAGACGTTCCAAGAATCCTTTTAGAAGGTTGTTTGCTCACTTGAGTGTGGCTACTCTGGGTGGGGTTGGGGTTGTGCACAAATCAAGGAATTGGATTGGATTGGGATTGCTTGAGGTACAGCCTTAGAGTCCCTAGTCCGGACTGCATCCACACCATTTGTGTGGCAATGAAGAGGGAATGAAGGTGAATGACATCCGTGAGCTGAGTTACATTGACAAGTGGTTCTTGACCCAGCTGAAGGAGCTTATAGATGTGGAACAATACCTTCTGTCTCAGAAATTGTCTGACTTGACTAAAGATGACCTCTGTGAAGTGAAAAAGAGAGGTTTCATTGATAAAGAGATAGCTTTTGCTACAAAAATCACAGAGAAAGAAGTTTGGTTAAAGCGGTTATCATTGGGTGTTAAACCAGCATATAAGCGAGTTGATACATGTGCTGCCGAATTTGAGGCTCATACTCCTTACATGTACTCATCTTATGACTTTGATTGTGAATCAGCTCCTACCCAAAGAAAAAAGGTTCTGATTTTAGGTGGTGGACCAAATCAGATTGATCAAGGGATTGAATTTGATAACTACTGCAGTCATATATCATTTACCCTCCAAATCTATTGTACTAGCATCATAGCTGTAAATGGGCAAAAAAGAAGCTCATATTTTTTGCCGTCCATCTTAATCACCTTAAGAAGTACTAATCTACCAATGGAGAAGAAAGCATAGAGCTTATGCATCCCCAGTAAAATAAGAAGTGAAAAGATTATAGAGCAGAAGACAATCATAATCTTAGAATTCTGAGTTTTTATTGCTTCTTGTTAATTTGTTTTAGTATTAATTCTACCTGCAAGCACTAATCTTCAAGTTACCTTTTTGTTCTTATGTGTACACATATTAATGGTATTTTGTCGATCAATTTCAGGATGCAGGCTATGAAACAATCATGATGAATTCCAACCCTAAAACAGTATCTATAGATTATGATACGAGTGATTGTCCCTATTTTGAACCACTGACAGTTGAAGATGTTCTCAACGTAATAGATTTGGAGGGGCCTGATGGATAATTTGCAGTTTGGAGGTCAAACACCAATGAAGCTGGCTCTTCCAACGCAGCAATGCTTAGACGAGCAGAAGCCAAAATGCAAAAGTGGAGCTGTTTATGTTGGTATTTGGGGTACATGACCTGATTCCATTGATCTTGATTAATGTCAATTTTTGTCTTCATGTTATCCTATTCATTTGCATGGATATATGCTTATTATGACTTCACTGAAATAGGTTTCATATTCTGTTTTTGTTGGTAACTCTAATTAGCAGCAGTATCTATATGACATAGTTCCAATTCGTGCTTATTGTTGGTTGCAGTAGATGTTGAATTAATTAATTGGCACTTGCTGGTGCCTCTTCGTTTGCATGTATCACGTTGCTTGGGACCTTTTTATAAATTTATTTATTTTTGGAGTCTTTTAACTGCAAAGATGGTTTGAAACGGGGTAGATTCCGTTAATCTACTTGCGGGAATGAATGGGGCTTATGATAGGTACTTGTGTTCCAAATTCTTAATCATGATCCTTGTATTCCTGCAACAGTTAGTGCAACGAGTAGATCCTTCTATTCCTGCAGTAAACTTGACACATATCCATATATTGGCATATCAATTTCCAAATCCAGTCAAGTCTACTGTAAAATTTTTTAAGTAATAGAAATAAAGACTTCCAAGCCTTGATAATAGACTACTAGCTCTTGACTCTTTTGTCTTCTGTACTGTTGCTTGAAAGGTTAAATCAGTGACTAATGCCAATTTAGTAGAATTTCTTGTCTTCTTGTAGAAGGAGCGATCCTCTCTCTCTCTCTCTCTACCGTTTGCCGTGACGTATCATCTTCATGCTCCAGTATTTGCGGATACAGTCACCTAATTTAGGTCGATTTCCAAGTGTGAAGAAACAGTGACTCTGCAGGAAAAAATCATCTTCGACATCATACCCTCACGTCTCTTTCCTTCTGGTTTCCAGGTCCTCGGTCGTCTTAATTGATTATTACACGTGAAAATCATAATTTGCAGGTGCAGATTAAGAATAAAAATGTCTTTGCTGTGACTCAGAAGTCGATTCGTCAGTGGTGTTAGCAGCCCCTGTGATGATTATCTTTTCTGAGAAGAACTAAGACGGATTCTTGTTGCAAGAGAGATGACTTTTAAACAAACATGGGCTGAAGCTGTTGTTCTATGTAATGCAGGTCAAGCCGAACCTAACTCAACTAGCGTATCTGGACTTTCGAGAGACTTAAAAGTAAAGACAGTTAGTCTTAAAATGGAGGAAGATAGTGACTGGATCGATGCCTTGTTTCAAACCGATTGACAATAATGTCTTCCCATTAAATTAACTAGTATTTCCGAGTTCATTATTATTTATTGTTTCATACTGGTAGTAAATTTTAGTATCCAATCGGGACTAAGGTAGAATGTATATAGAATGTGGTGAGAATGGTAGCTGGATTTGTCATGCACGCTCAAAGTTTTTTTTTTTTGCTAAGCTGTTAATTTTATTTCACGTTTCCATCATGGTAAACCAAAAAAGTCGTCCAAAATTCTCTTTGTTTATATGATGTGTTCTTCCTTTTATTGCAACTTGTATTAAGTTGAAATTTTTTTTTTTGGGGTGTGTTGAAACTCCTGCGTGTTTCAGAACACACCCTTTGGTTTTCAAAATTTTTTAACAATAATATCAATGTACTATTTTCAGGTTTTCGTAGTTTTCTTGTTTTAAGAAGGTAAGAAAACAAGAATAAATTGCTTTTGCAATTAGTTTTAACTCGGTCTCGGATGGGCTGAAAGTTCTGACCGGGTATACAAGCCCCATTTGTTAATTTACTAGTAGTATGTTTCAAGATTCCGACAGACATCATCATCAACTGCACATAGTTTTTTTTTTTTTTTTTTTCTTTTTTCTTTCCCTCCTCTCCTCTTGCAGCGTGAGTAAAGGGTTTTGAATTCGAAACCTCTTCTTACTTACGTTCCTCCTCTCTTGTCACTCAACCTATATAGCTTTCCCCTTTCAACTGCATAAAGTTACAACATAATTTTCAAAAAAACTTTTTGAGGCAAGTAATTTTCTTCACTATTTTTTTAATCCAAATTCGTCAAATCAAATGTATCAAATCCTACCACATTCGGAAAAAGCGCCACCCAATCAAAAATTACCAAATATATATATTATATATATATATATTTTGGGGTCCGTGAATCAGAACAACATATTATGAGCTATATGTTTGTGGGTTTTCTCCCAGAGAATGAAAAACACATAAGATGAAAATTTTCCAGACAAAACTATGTAGAATTCTTGCGTATTTGTAGTAGTGGTGCCAAAAATCAGGGGTAACCATCAGGGGAAAGCTGTGTTTCTATAGTACTCAAGCTTTCCTTTACTATAGGGTATAGAGTATAGACACGTTGGCCAGTTTATCCCTTCAGGTTAATGTAAACCTAAACAAACATTGGCATAACAAATCCATCATATGATGAATAGAATAGAGACACAATTTTGTGCAATAGACTCTGCAACCAAAAGGAAGATGTGAACACAATCTTGATCAATTTCTCCCGTTCCATTTCAAGCAGCAAAAATACAAGCAGCTGAAATACCAAAAACAGCTATTATATGAATGCTTGTGTTTCTATAGTGCTTTTATGGGCATTTTGATTTTTTGGTAAGTGGCATGCTTTTGTGGACGTTGTTTCTATTTGACTAAAGTAAGTTGAATTTTTATTGTTTTTCATTGTAATAGATATTCTGAAGTATTCATGTCTCTCTTCTTCTTTTTTTTTTTTTTTTATTTTGAAAAAAAAAGTTGCATATGTTTATAGCTTACTTTAAAAAGATAAATAAGCACGAATAGAGATTTTAAGAACCGTGAAAACCCTCGAAATGTTAAAAAAAAATTTAAAAGTGACACATTAAAGTAATTTGTGAGTGACGAAAATGAAATAGGACAAGTATGTAGTCAGATATGTTCTCAATCTGAACCAATGGAATTTTTCTATTTTCCCCAAAAATAAAATATTAAGTGGTCAACAGAATCTAGTACAAGCCGAAGCTTCTCGAGATAATTGAGGATGATAACTAAAAACTTAAAAGAGTAGGCCATGAAGGATGTTGTACAAGCTGGGCAAGAGCATCGCGCGGCCGTCATACAAAAAATGACCAACATTATTGTCAATCTTTCTTACTTCATTACCTTTTCCCTTTTACTTAAGAATTTAAGATAGTTCCACCACAAAAAAAAAAAAAAGAATCTAAGATAGTTTGGAATCAAGAAATAAATGGCCCCATTTCAGTTGATACTAACTAATCAAGCTCCACTTTAATGACTCAAATAAATAACACCGTGTCAAAGGATTTTGAATGGCCTTTTCTTGCCAGAAGTCTAGATAGTAACAGTAAATACAAGTGAGGAACGGCAAGATACATATAAAAAATTTGGACTTGGGATTTTTGGGATCAGTCTGCAATTTACACTACGCTTAGCTGTTAAGACGGTCTTTTTCTGGCGGTCTCCATGCCAAAATTCCCTTGAGTAATGACTCCTTAATTCACTTCTCTCAAACTCAAACCCGTGTGGGCCTGTTTCTCGTCTAGCAGCACAGACTTGGAATTAGGGTCTGATATTCCATGGAAATTAGAAGCTCTAGAAACTTGACAACTGTATCATCAGCCAAGTCTTCAAGAAGCACCAGAAAAAAAAGAAAAGAAAAGAAAAAAGCCTATGTGTTCAGCAAGAAACTAATTAAGCACGTTATGAGTACAGTATCCGAGGAACCATTTGTTTCGTATTGTAGAATTGGAATCGGAATCGGAATCAAAATCATAAACCTCACTACTGTAAATATAGGTCTTGATCGTTTTTCCTTGCATGTTTGGTCCGGAAGTGGAATAAAAAGCTAATCAATTTGGTAGGAAACGGCAGATGGCAAAATCTAAAACTTTCGTTTCCATCAAAAAAATTCCTACAGTAGTCTAATAAACGACAGGTATAGGCATCATTAACTTTGATACACCTATTCCTCTGCCCAGTATAGGCATCTATCAAACGCGCCTGAGTTTTCGTCTTATTTTATTTTTTGTTTCAGTCAGTCAGTCAGCCAGGCAGGCAACTTAATGGGCATCTACATTAATTAGGTATACAATTTAGGCTAAATGATCATAGGTTATGGTTGGTCAAGGATGTTTGGTCTTGGTCTTTGTCGTGCACAAAATGCAGATTCTTCTATTGCATGCGAAGATTGTTCGTCAGGCCTACGATCAAGTCTGGTAGAAGCACTTAATATGGTCAAGAAGACCGATCAAAAGTTGCATGCTGGCTTGCCATTCTTTATGATTCTCCTGTGTAGATAGAGAGAGAGAGAGATGCATAAATGAAGAATGTGTAGATGATAAGGATGATCGAGCCCAGAAGGTGGCAGATCAGATTGAGGTACAGCATGCAAAATAAATGCAGGGATGGGAATTGATAACCATGGCCGTGGATGTGTACTCAAATTGATTGCAACAGGACAATGTGAATTCTAAAAGTTCATGTTGAGAAGTCAAATTATCAAATTGACCAACCACTAATTGTAGCCATCCTGTGACATGCTTTGCTTGCTTAATTAATAATCCCGTTCCTTTCTTCTCCTACCTCTATTTAATTTGAAAATGATTTGGTCATGTCATACTCCTGGAAGACCATGGCATATTAATTAGCCAGTGATATATGTATATATATTAATTAGACTCTAGCTAGAATCAGTAGTGTATCATACAGCGCATGAGGATTTGTTTTCCAATGGTAAGAGATCGAAGGCACAAACGTCAGCTCCTGCACATTAGCTTATAAACCGCCAAGCATGAATGTTCCCGTAGATTATGAGAGACCAATTTGTTTAGAATTAATCTTGTATGCATGTATACATTTTCACAATTTGATGCATGACATGTAATTCGAATTTGAATTTGAAACCCAAATTTTGCACATATGTCGTGCGTCCAACCATGATATGATAGTGTATATACACCGTCAGTCAGCGTGTATAAGATTTACTCGTTTGGTTTATGGTTCCTATCTTTCACGTTAATTTTTTCTCTTTCAGTTGCTGCAAAAAAATAATAAGATTTTGCATAGCTATCAATATTCAGTAATAATTAATTGGAAATAACAGCCACATTCTCCTCCCCAGTCGGGTCCTTCAAGGATCAATGACTTGGTGGGAGTCATTCGTGCAAGAAATCAATTAAAAGACCTGGAAGCCAGACATGTATGATGGAAAAGTGCATCTCTTTCTTTCTTTGCCATCTTTCCTCCTCATTTGATGAACGGGCCACACGCTTTTGGGTTTCGAGGCTGCATCCGGTTTGTAATCTGCGGTTAGTCTACGGTGGAATTTTAAGTATACATACTAAAGCAAAGCACGTACAACTAATCAAAGTAAAAATCAGAGACTTAATGCGGATTTGCCCTTTTTTCTTCTTTGCTTTTTTTGCACTCTGAGGTCCACACGCAAAAGACTAGTTGCAAGGGAGAGGTGAAAACTTTTCAGCGGTGGGAGATGGAATGCAACAGGTCCAAAGTGTCTAACAACTTCCACCGATGAGTTTAATACTAACCTTTTACTACATTTTTCTATGCGGTGGAAAAAACTTTATGCAACTATTTATTTGTCATTTTCACTGTAAAAAAAAAAAATGGGAAATTGGTGGGATCTCTTTGGACATATACGGCTATTACAAATCTTAGGATAATGCTACTGAAAGACTAATACAGCTCTTAAGTACGCGTATGCCGAGCATAGTTTTCAAGCATCGATTAGACAAGCAGCACCCATTTTCCCTCTTGGCTGCCATCCCTCTCATTTTCTCCTTTCTCCGTAGTCCAAAAGCCGGAAATTCATGCCGGTTGGATGAGGTTAGTTCCGTATTGTACTTATTTTCAGCTGAAGAGATTAGATTTCAATGTCTATCATTCCAAGTGAAGTCATGCAAACGCAAATTTTTGTTACAATCAAAATACAAAAAAAAAATTCGTTTATGAAGAGTAGATGGAAACAGCGACCTTAACTTTACCTACTATATCACTAGAGATGCAAAACAGCATATATCAACAACAAAGATAAAACTCTAGTCCAACAAAGTGTGTACCTTCACTTTCACCAACAGTCAAAAGCAAGATAAGAGTAGTATTAGTCCCAATGTTACTTTGTGCTATAGTAGTAATCGATGAACTTGGGATGGGACAACTCTTCTCTGAAATGCAATTATTCAACTTAAGTAGTATACATGGGGTATTAAAAAGTACCATTGGGAGATGCAAGGCTTTCAGGGTTTTTTTTTTCCTTCTTTTAAGATGGGGGTGGGGGGGGGGGGGATCATAATCTAGCAGCAAATGGTCATTAATCCTGTGTTGTTGTTCCTACTTCCTACCCTTTGTGCAGGTTAATTGCGATGTCAATTAGATACACTCCGTCTTCAGTC